TTTGATTAAAGGTTTCAATTTGTGTTAAAATAGAAAACTTCTACTTCTTTGACTCGAAGGGGTTGACTAGGGATTATCTTCCTTATAACTCCAGTGTTTAGGATTTGAAAGAATGCCTGTACATCGTCAGCAAGGTCTGTCCAAAAGCATACTGTATGAGATTATGGCATTGTTTTCGTCATCCTCCCTCTAAAGGCTTGTAACTTTTAGCAAGATTTGAATGTCATAAAGTGAGTAAAAAGCATAGTTTAAATGTAATGAAAATGAAAGGATGAATTCAAGACAAATATATGCAATGCATTAATGAAACAGAGTTTGACATTAATAGATAAATGTTTGAATAACAAAAGAAATTACAATTAAAAATTCAAAATGAACAGAAGCCTCTTTGTCAGAACTTGTCACTTTAGATGGTGAGCCTTTGAAAGATGACAGAAGAACTCAGTCTGACCATCTTGTGTGAACTCCAGCATTCCTTCGTCGATCAGGTTTTGAATCTTATACTTCAACGCCCAACAATCATTTGTATCATGCTCAGGGATATCAGAATGATAAGCACACATTGCCTCTGGATTGTAGTTAGGAGAGGAAGTCTTTAGGCTCGGGTGAGGGTTTATCACCGTAATCAGATGCATCCTCAACATGTGTTGTAATGCTTGTGACAATGGCATGTTGATTTGGGTGAAGTGCCTTTGGCAGAAGAATTCAGTCTGGCCATCTTGCGTGAACTCCAGCGGTCCTTCTTCAATCAGATCTTGAATTTTATTTCTTAATGTCCAACAACTATTGGTGTCATGTCCCGGACTGTTGGAGTGGTACGCACATCTTGCATTTGGATTGTACTTCGGAGAGACTGTGTTGGGATTTTGAGGGGGGTCTTTCAACATAACCAGCTTGGCCTCCAACATGTGTTGCAGTACTTGAGACAATGGCATGTTGATTTTGGTAAAGCGTCTTTCAGCTGTATTCCGCTTACGTCGATTACCCTGTTGTTGGAGAGATTGGGCTCGTGATGCGGAAGCAAATTGGAAAGGTGCACTTTCGGCTTCTTGTCTCATGGGAGGTTGAATGATAATCGGATCCCCAATCCTAGGTGTTTGCCCCATTTGGTTACATTCATCCCGACAGAGCTTGTTGATGAGGACCCTTAGCTCTTCTTGTCTTTGTGCCATATTTTGGATAATAGCCATCTGGTCCACTAGTTGTCCCATCATTTGGACCTTCATTATGGCTATCTCGGTTTGTAGCCGTTCCAAGTGGTCATCTTTGTCGTCCCCAGGATTTCCCATGGTCATGCCCTTGGTGAGGAGAGCTTTCACCTCTTCTTTCCCCTTGGATAGGTTCAAGAACATTTCTCGGAGTTGAGCGTTTTGAGCCTGGATGTCCTTGATAGTCTGCTCTAGAGCCATCCCTACTGAAATAAACAGTAGAAAGATAAGGAAACTTGTACGGGAGAAACCTGTCATGATATGGTGTATGATATGTGGATGCATGTTTTCAAGGATCTCGCGGGGTAAACACAAGAAACAGTTAGAAGTTGAACTTTGATCAACATCTTTGATTGGAGAACTTTGTATCGGTGGATGTCTTTCCACGAGAATCAAGCTCACCATGTCAAGTGGGTCATAGCCCTTGACTCAAGTTATTTGTACTTGATTTTTGATGGTGTTTGTTTAGAGGAAAATAAATCATCTTGCCCTTTGGTAGACGTCTGGTTCAACGTGACCCTGCATCAAAGATCCTCGAGATGCTTGAAATTGTTATTGAAAATACTATGGTATGATGTCATGATGTTATGTACAGATATGCGAGGTAAGCAAGTGTATATACAAATAATCATATTCACACAAAGCAAACAAATCCTTAGTTTCAGGCTTGCATGGAGTTTGTAGGTAAGTACCCTCTTGAAGTTTAGTTGGCTCAACCTGTCCTAGTTAATAGTAACCGGGTTCTAAGGGGTATCAATATCACTGACCTTTCTTTTAGGCATTGTCTCATCTCAATCAATCTTTTCTTGCGGTCGAGATATCCCAAAAGTCCAGCCTCAATGAGTGTAGTATCGAGTATCAACCAATTTTCAGCTCTACACCGAAACCGGTCATCTCACTACGTCCTAATGGCCAAGTTGGTCAAGTAAGGTTCTAAGGTCAATTGATGTTTCACGACACCACGCGGCGGCCCCGTACTCTCCTTGATTCGACTCAAGGGTTACCGGTACCAACTAAAGTGTCACATCAACGTAGCTACTGCTTCAACCATGTCGGTATACGCTGCATAGTTCCCTCACAGTTTATTGCTACTTACCTAAAAGGTGCCCCCAAATCCGGATGTAGGATTTAAAACAAACCCAAACAAGGAACAAAAATGTAAAGCAAACAAATCAAACAATGTAAGCAAGTAAAGGTGATCTAACCCTAACGTAACCCCACTTTTAGAATAATCCCCAGCAGAGTCGTCAGTTCTGTGATACGGTGGGAGAACTGACTTAAGGTTTTGCGTTTGTGTTTGCAAATGTTACGGTTTAGCAAGAGTCACCACCGACTTTTATTTTATCCAAAAGGAAAGGTGAAAAAACACAGGAAAGACCTTTAGAGATGTTTTTGAGTTCGGGAGGTAGATTATGAAAATGGAAGGTATTAGCACCCTTTTTATCCATGGTTTTCCATGGGCTCTTAGTTACTTGCTAGATCACTTGCTTTTGTTTGAATGTGTGCGTGTGGTGGTGATTTTTGAAAGTATTTTGAAAATGGAACTTCGTAATGGTTCTTGTTTCTATAAGAACGCCTACAAAGTGTTTGTTTCGAAAATAGTTCAAAGAGGTATTTGTGAGATGTGTTTTTTTGAAAGTATTTTGAAAATGGAACTTCGTAATGGTTCTCGTTTCTATAAGAATGCCTACAAAGTGTTTATTTCAAAAATAGTTCAAAGATGAGAGTGTGGGTAAAAATGTTTTTTGTTGTGAGCAAGCGAGTAACTAAGAGCGAATCTACCTACTCGAAAGGTCTTAGATGTGATTTTCCTCCTCCTTTAGATGTTACTATCTTACCATTGATTTGGTAAGAAGTCTCATCGTTGGATGTGAAAGGACAGGCGTTTGGGACGTTTGTGTAGTCATAGAAAAGCCTGACTTAGACCGGGTTAAACTTTTTTAATAAAAAGGTCTGACTTAGACTTTTCTAGAATCCTACTTAATTAAATAGATCAGGCACAGACTATTAAAAAAGTATATGAAACTTTATAGACCGACTTATATTTTCATTTATATTAAAAATAAACTAAATAGGATGACATATATATATATATATATATATATATATATATATATATATATATATATATATATATATATATATATATATATATATATATATATATATATATATATATATATATATATATATATATATATATATATATATATATATATATATATATATGTGCGCGCGCGCGCGTATATATTAGAAAAAGATTAAATAGGTTGACTTATATATACATATATATTAAAAACAAATGCTAAATAGATTGGCTTATATATGTATATATAGGTCAACTTATAAGACTTCTTAAGTAATATAAGATTAATTGAAAATTTTAATGAAAAACAAGTTTTTAAATAGGCTTTCAGGTCAAGTCAGACTTTTAACAATGTCAGATCAGACAAAAATCAACTATAATAAATCATACGTCAGACTCATACCTATTAAATTTATCATAAATCAGACTCTTACCTTATAAAACCTAATTTATTTTCCGCTTTACTCTTGAATTCTATTTGAACACATGATAAATGTAAAGTGACTTAAGTCATAGGCATTAATGAGATGATAGTAAAATACAAAATTAAATTGGATAACTCAGTAAATATGGAGTAGTAATTATGGTTAACTCAATTAAGCGAAATTACCTTTCAAATTTAAGCTAATTAAACATGATCAAAGAAGGATGGTTATAATTTGGAAATTTTCAAATTATTATAAAACCATTTTATAAAAATAAATAGTACTAGTACTCCATTTATTCAGTTTATCCATCATATCATAAAGCATCACGCGATACACGTTATTGTACATTTACTTGCGGTTCCTAACTTTCCCTCCTCAAAATGAAATCAATGCCTTGCGTTACCGTGTGAGTGGGGGAGTCTCTGCAAATTCTATTCCAACCTCAATAGTGTTTTGGATATTTTCTTATTCAACATTAACTCTTTGACTTGACGTTTTATCTAATTGCTACTCAAATTTTTTAAAGATAGTTATGACAAATAAAATTTGCATGTTTCTTAGTGTGTTTGATTTGGCATCAGTTTTTGCACATTTACCCAAAAATCACATTCAGTTTTCACGTTTAGGTAGCTTTTGAAAAATCACATTCATAATAAAAATCCATAACAAATTATAAATAAATTTGAATTTTTTAATATATTTGACGATTAATAAATGTAATCCATATACGAATTAAGTATTTGCTTAAGGTTTTGACATAGTCATTCTTCATGTCCAAGCTTCCAAATTGACTCACTTCATTATCTCTAAAATTAAATCATACCAACTATCTTTTGAAATTCCCATAAGTGTCCCAATTCAATCATTTGAGATAGTCATCTTTCATTAAGATGTCTATAGTAAGATAATATTAAAAAAAACCTCTTTTATCCTATTCTTACCCATATCTAAATATCCAATATCCCCATAGTAAATAATTTAAATGTCAATTAAAGTTTGTAAAAAGAAAAAGTCGATTAAGGTGGCTTAAAAATGGTTATTTAGGATTTTTTTTAATATCATAAAATGAACCGTAAAAATATGATGATGTTAAAGAAATGCAACTAAAAAAACTATACACAACAGAGCAGATTACAACAGAGTAAAACAATTGCCCAAATTCAGATCTCTTTTGATCAACTTGAAGGGATAAGATAAAAAAAAGCACAAAAATTAAAATTTAAAAACCTAATACTAATTAAATACAAAAAAAAAAAAAACCCTACAAGATTAGTGTTCTTAAGGCAAGAACCCACTGTTTACACTGTGGCTGTGATTTCCAGAATTATTACTACTACTAACACCCCCGTTACAATTATTATTACTATTAGCACCAACATTGCTATCTTCTGCAGATTTCGACTCCAATTCATTAACGGCAACAGCGGTAGCTTCAGCTCCGGTTGCCGGAAACCGGCCACACTTCTGACACCTTGTCACCGCCAGAATTTGTCTACAGGAAGGGCAAGAAGAGTGGGACCCAAGCCATGTGTCTATGCAAGCAACGTGGAATCCGTGTCCACACTGCGGTAGCACACGGATCTCGTCGCCGGCGGCGAAATCAGAGAGACAAATCGCGCATTCAGTTGTCGCCAACCATTTCGTAGGGTTGCTATCGACGTAAGCGAATTTCGGAAGCGATTGAAGAACTTTTTTCTTGAGTCCTTTGTTAGCTAAAGCTTGCTGAGGAGAGTTTCCGGTGCCGGAGTCTCGTCGGAGCCAGGCGCATCGGGCTACGGCGATGAGTCCGACAACGCATATCAAGGCACAGAGCAAGGCTGCGAGAATCACGACGAAGTCTGACTCCAACGCCAAGGCTTCTGGCGGCGGTGCTGTTACGGAGGCGGCGTTGATGTTTTCAGTGAGGATTCTTAGCGCTCGTGTCATGTTTGCGAGGGAAAGTAATGGAAAGGAGGGAAGGTGTTTGATGAAATGTGTGAGAAGAAGAAAAGTGGAGAGGGTTTTGGTTAGTTTTGAGGGTGGAATTGTGGGCTTAAATAATAGGGGTAGGTATTAATAGGTTGGTTGAAAGTGGTTTCATTTTGTGATTATGATTTCAGAGAGAGAAAAATGAGTTTTAGTGGGGTTGTTTGGAGATAAGGGATTAAGGGTTCATAGAGGACACGAGTCAAAATCATGAGTGGTCCAGTGTCTGTTTTTTTCTCAAGATTTCATATTGAATCCGATTAGCTGCTAATTATTTTTTTCTTAGAAGAGTCTATGGATGTGTTTGGATTGGTTGTCTAGTAGAATTGATTATAACATAATTGAGTTTAACTAATATGATTTATATTTAGATAAATTTATATAAAAGTGAGTTGTATAATAAATTATCGAGAATCAATTCTTGAGATAGAAGTTATAAATTCTAGTTTCAAATAAAATCAATTCTCGAAACAAAATCAATTATACTTTTGTGTAACCAAACATTTCAAAATCATCCAAAATCAATTTTACACCTCTAAAATTATTTTTGTCACTCTAATTTTAAACGAAACCTGTTAGAATAGTAAAATTGTTCCTCTTGTTAGGAGAGTTGCTATGAGCATTGAGACAATTTTAAGGTGGCAAATGAGTGAATTCTTCCACTTATATATGTTAAAGTCTCCAGATTCATATCCAATGTGGGACCATTTCTTCACTTACTCACACTTGTATTATTTTTTTAACACTTTCTCTCAAGTGTGAGTCCATAATACTCCCCCACTTGTACTGCCGTTGACATCTTGCAATGGAATACCACTTATTGAACGAATTTCGATACAAGTCTCTTTCGATCTCTTTCTCGAATCAAAGGCTTTGATACCATTTGTTGGGGGGAGTTACTAGGAACATTGATATAAAATTGATGATTATACACTTTTGTGAGAGACATACTACTTATCCACCTAAAACTTTAAGGTGAGAGGTGAGTGAATTCTCTCACTTATATATGCTAAAGTTTCTACATTTTTATCTTATGTAAGATTATTTTTTCATTTACTCATATTTGTATTTATTATTTTAACACTTCTTAAATTAAATTAGCTGGATAGGAAATTAAAAAAAATAATCATGATTACAAGTTAGAGAGAGAGAGAGAGGAAGGAGTATGGTAAGATACAGTAGGGTACAATAAAATGGCCCATTAAGAAGGCAAGTGGGTAAGGATTCTAAAGGGACAAAATAGACATAACCCAAACCTTTGCCCCCCAAGCTGTTTTGCTTTCAAATTTCCTACCCTCTTAACTTTAGCTATTAGGCCTAAATTATAACACCAATAACAATATTGCACATGTACTGGTTTTTTTAATAGAAATACAAATTTGTTTTTTATGTTGTACCAACCTTGGTCGGTTTTTGCTTTCTTATTTTAAATATAATAGTATTTGATGAATGGCTTTTGTTTTATAAAATTATTAATACATAGAGAGATAACATGCATGTCCTTGTCAACTTAATTATATAAACTATAAGTCAAATAAATTTCAATCGGTTCTAGAGTATACCATTAGTAGACAACGGAGGGGGTCGTTTTTGAAAGAATATTTTGATCAATTTTTTCAGAAAAGGTTACTTGAAGAATAAAATAATGTAACGGTTGTATTTAAAAAAGAAAAATTCACATTTTACTAGTTTAAGAATTTAATAAAAGAGAAACTGAATTTTTTTAATTAATTTTATTATTTTTATATATGTATTAATAATTTAAATGAACTTCAATCATTCAATTTTTTTTAAATTTAACTGGTTTAAATCATTTGAACTATCCTTTATCCTTTTTATCCGAATGAAAATTGGATTGAAATTTGTCTTACTATTATAGTATTATAGTAAGAAAGGAAGTTTTTTTTTGTCTTATAAGGTTACAAAATTATAACAAGTGTTTAACACTTTTATATATTTAATCCTGATTAAATACAATAATATGCAAATGGGAATAATATTAGTAAGCATTAGGACTCCTTTTGCAAGCTAGCATTGAAAATCAAATATTGGAGTTTAAGTGAATCTAGAAAAGGAATTAGAATCTTTACTTTGAGAATTTTAAATTCTAAATAGAAAAGATAACTACCAATTAGGAAGAATAAATATGTTCAATTTGATGCCATTTTTCATGTCACTAAATTTGTGCAGTATCTTACCAGCTAGCAGGTTTGATTTATGTTATCAACTACTTGTTTTGTTGATAGTTTGGAAAATAATTTAAATAAACCTAAAGTAACAAGTGGCCTTTGGCTCTTTTTCGTGTTTCTTGGAAGAAAACATAAAGTATTGAGAGTTGTAACCTTTCGATTCTTTTAATAGTTAGTGTATTTTACAAGATAAGGTGAATGTGACTATAAGCAAGTAATTATATTTATAATAAACAAATTTTAATAATTTAACTTTGGATCATGTTAACATGTGTCATAAGAACATATATTATATATTTAGAAAAAATTAAATATAATTAGATATAAAAATTATATTTAAAATTTTAAAACAATAAATATATATATTTTAAGAAAATATTTTTATAAATAATTTATTAATTTGTGCCTGAGACACACGGTGGCTTTTTCATTTAATTTTTTATCTTTGATTGTGAATTGACAGGAATAATCATGTAAAGTGATATTCAATAGAGAGGTAATTGCAGGATTCCGTTTCGATTAATCACGTCTGTGTTTTTCTATAGTATTAAGATTATGATGATATATTACTTTTTTATTATTAATTATAACTTTATTCTTAAAAGTGCATAATCTATTCAATTTTACTTTCTACGTACCTTATGGATTTCTTTCCACTTTCTTATTCAATTTTCTACTGATAAAAAGTGTAAAGTTAAATAGAAAAGCTATATTACGCGTAGGGGTGTGCATTTTAACCGGTTCATCCAATCCATAACCATAAAATTGGTTTCCAAATATAAAAAATCCAAACCATTTAGTTATTAACTAATCCACTCCATTTAAAGAAAAACCAATAACATTGGATACCCATTTTATTGAAATTCAGTTTTTGTTCCTGATCCAATTTACTAATTTACTCAAATGTTAAAAAATATCTCTCTAAATTTTCAACATAGCCAAAACCAAACCATTACAAATTGAATAACTGGAATGACAGTTAATTTTTTCTTGGATCCCAACATTAAATATATTACAATAAATATTATTTTTTTAGTTTAAAAATACACTATAATATATTTTACCTGCAAATGTGTTTGAATGACAACACAGTAATGGAAGTTGAGTTTCATCAATCTAAGACATGAATCTCCATTTTGAAATTCAACTTTCATAATACTATAATCAAATTTCAATTATATATACAAGACCAAACACCAAACTTACTTTAAAAAAAAAAACTCTTCACATATCTGAATATTATTAGAAAATAAATAACACAGTAAAATAAGATATGTTGACTGAACCTTCCAATGTTTTCCAGCACAGTATGCATAAAAGTTTCAAACTGGTTAAGCAAAAAAATTGATTAAAACAAAAAATTGATGTAATTAGTTTTAAGAAAAACTAATCTTAACTGAATCAAATAAAAAACAGGTTGTTAATAGGAACCAATTTTAAACCGAATCAATCTAAATATAAACCAGTTTTAAAAAAATAATCTGGTTTTACAAAAACAGTTTTGAAGAATTAAACCAAACCATATATTTGGTTCAATTCGGGTTGGTTTGAGAACCATGCACACCCCTACCATCCAACATCCAAGCTTCAACCATATTGTTTGCTATATATGTTTTTCAATTTCTCGCACAACTCCTTTCTAAGGTTTTCATAAGGACTCACATAAGTTGCTATAAAAAAGCACTCTTTGCTGCCAGGATAGTTTACTGGTAGTTAACCAAGCAACAATGATACCTCCCAAAAAATAGAATTTTTAAATGCTATAAATCCATCGAAACCTAACAAGTGAAAAGTTTTCTTCGGTTTACATCTCGTTTCCATAATCACAATCAACACAAGTCTCCAAATTGTTACATATTCTTTGTAAATTATTTTTGATATAAAACTTTATTTTTTTAAATTGGTTTTTTTTATAAAATTGATTTTGAAACTGGTTTTTTATAAAACTGGTTTTGAAATCGATTTTTTAAAGAAAATTAAAAATTGGTTTTTAGAAAAATCAGTTTAAAATTGGTTTCTTTTTAAAAACTGGTTTTTGTGAGAAACCGGTTCAAAACCGAACCGATCCACATGTAAACCGATTTTAGAAATATAAACCGGTTTTAATGAAGTAGTTTTAAGATCCAAACCAAATTATATATATGGTTCAATTTGGTTTGGTTAATGATCCATGCACACCCCTAATTACGCGATTAAACTTCAGTGAACTATTTCAATTCTAATTATGTTTTCTTTACCAGAAATAAACTAGATAATTATTACACGTGTATAACATATGTATAAGTAGGATAGAAAACCTCATTTTATTTTTGAAATTTTTTAACTCACTGTATTTCTAGTACATCATACAAAAATATATAAATAATTTTGAAAATTGAAAATGTATTTCCGAGACGCACTAAGATGTAGTAAAATATATATTATTTTTGGAGTTATCTTTCTGTTTGATATCACAATTACATTTTTGATATTTTACTACAAAGAAATCAGAAAAGTAAATTGAATTAAAATACACCAAATACACAAACTCAAAATATCATATTTCATACGTTATTATCATAACATATAAGCAATACGTTAAGGATTTTAAACATAATTCAAACATTACACTCAACATTCAGGTGGACGTTGGAATAGTCCCATCCAGCTCGCGATCAGAACTTTTGCTTCTAAACGGAAAAATGTTATTCACATAGCCCGTAAATCAACACTCATCTTTAGCTCATGGTTGATGAACTCAAGCATCTCTTCGTTGTCAATGAATGACGAGCG